TTCATTTAAAATAACTTTAACTTTAAAATAACATCGATAACTTCATTTAAAATAACTTTAACTTTAAAATAACAGCCATAACTTCATTTAAAATAACTTTAACTTTAAAATAACAGTGATGACTTCATTTCAACTCATTCATATCAAGCCTGATTCAAGCTATACGTCGCAAAAATTTTACAACTTGTTGGGGTTTCAAGCCCGCAACTCACTGCTCCAATCTTGAGATTCACTTTTTCCTATAGCAGCAATGCGCACCTGTTGGGCGGCGCTACGTACCTGTTGGGCCTGTCTCTTATACACATCTAGATGTGTATAAGAGACAGCCTATATATGGACATATTTTATAATAATCCATCTTATAATTTTATAATAATAATTTTAATAATAACAATAATAATGAAAATTATAATAATAATAACAATGATAATAATAATTATAATTATACTAATAATAATGATACTAATAGTAATTATGATATAATAATCCAAGCGCTAGGTTCCGCATCACTTCTGAGCCGGCATTTAAGATGCCGAACCGCCAGTAATTTGGTAAGAATAGATTATTAATAAGCAGTTTTAGTACATTATTTGTTATATGTATAATTTTTCATGATAGAGGTTTATTATCAAGATATGTTTTCTAATAGTTGTTTTTTTTATCGATACCAGAAACCGGTTAATAAGCGCCTCAACATCCGCGTCTTCTTATACTTTCCTGTATGAGCCTAAAGGATCTTACTAGAAATTCTTCACACAAAGAGTGAACATATATTAGGGAGGGAATAATAAGTAGGAAAGAGTAAGTTTAGGGTTATAAATTAAAGTTAAACCATAAATTATGGGTAAACCATAAATTAGAGTTAAACATAATATAGGGTTAAACCATGTATTAAAGTTAAAGCATAAATTAAAGTTAAACCATAAATTATGGATGAACCATGAATTATAGTTAAACCATAAATTAGAGTTAAACCATAAATTATATTTAAACCATAAATTATATTTAAACCATAAATTAAAGTTAAACCATATATTAGGGTTAAACCATAAATTATATTTAAACCATAAATTAAAGTTAAACCATATATTAGGGTTAAACCATAAATTAACCAGGGACACAGATAGCTTAACTGCAGATGAGATATACGATAAGAAATTAATTTTTCTTTAATTCAATTAAAGATTCCAATTCAACATTATATATAACGTTAATTTAATTTCAATTTCATGGTAAATACAGAATAAATAACTTCAATTTTCATTCAATGGCCCCACTACTTACTGCCCTGCCCCACTACTTACTGTCCTGCCCCACTACTTACTGTCCTGCCCCACTACTTACTGTCCCGTCCCACTACTTACTGTCTTGCCCCACTACTTACTGTCCCGTCCCACTACTTACTGTCTTGCCCCACTACTTACTGTCCTGCCCCACTACTTACTGTCCCGTCCCACTACTTACTGTCCTGCCCCACTACTTACTGTCCTGCCCCNCAGGACTCACCAGGACACTTGGGGGGCAGGATACCCCCCACACTTGACCCCCATCCTGCAGGACTCACCAGGACACTTGGGGGGCAGGATACCCCCCACACTTGACCCCCATCCTGCAGGACTCACCAGGACACTTGGGGGGCAGGATACCCCCCACACTTGACCCCCATCCTGCAGGACTCACCAGGACACTTGGGGGGCAGGATACCCCCCACACTTGACCCCCATCCTGCAGGACTCACCAGGACACTTGGGGGGCAGGATACCCCCCACACTTGACCCCCATCCTGCAGGACTCACCAGGACACTTGGGGGGCAGGATACCCCCCACACTTGACCCCCATCCTGCAGGACTCACCAGGACACTTGGGGGGCAGGATACCCCCCACACTTGACCCCCATCCTGCAGGACTCACCAGGACACTTGGGGGGCAGGATACCCCCCACACTTGACCCCCATCCTGCAGGACTCACCAGGACACTTGGGGGGCAGGATACCCCCCACACTTGACCTGCATCCTGCAGGGGTATCCTGTGATGACCTTCGTGGGGCGGAGCTCCTGCAGGAACTCAGGCTTGCTGGGGGGCGCTGCGACGCAGGATATACATGTTATTTAGTTATTTAATTATTGAACATCTATTAAATTAATTACTTCATTATTGTCCTTAATAATATCTTAATTACTTAATATCATGGTTGAATATTTGTAGTATTTTTTATTATTTATTATAATATTTGCATTTAATTATTTTTTGACTGAGTGAGAGACACAACGGTCACCACTCACGAGTGACGTCGAGCTTAACGGTCACCACTCACGAGTGACGTCGAGCTTAACGGTCGCCTCGGTACGTCCCTCGTCGTTAACGGCCACGACGCAGTACGTCCCCGCGTCGTCGGCCGTGACGTGCCGGAACTCGAGGAAGAACTGCCCGTCCGCCGTCAGGCCCGCGTTGACGACGTCCGAGGGACGTACCTCCCGCCCGTCCTTCATCCTGAGGGACGGGACGGTAGATTACATAAAAAATATATTATAATTGATTTTGTCTAATTAAATATATAATATATAATGAATAAATAATCCTACTTAAATTAATATAATATAATAATTAAAAAAAATTATACCGTATATAAAAATTAATATATAATTATTAAACCACCGTCCACCTCGCGCCCGTCTTTCATGCTGGGGGGGACGGTGGGTTATATAGCTGTCTCTTATACACATCTAGATGTGTATAAGAGACAGCCCCACACTTGACCCCATCCTGCAGGACTCACCAGGACACTTGGGGGGCAGGATACCCCCCACACTCTGTCTCTTATACACATCTAGATGTGTATAAGAGACAGCCCATAAATAAATTGCACGGTTAATTCAGATTAAGAAACAATGTAAATTAATCCGTAGAGAATAGCAGGGAGACACACAAGCAGAGCAGATGAACGTCGTCAACAATAANCCTGGGGGGCGGACCGCATCTGGGGGGCCTTGCGCTCCTCTGGGGGAGGTGGGGAAAATGCGGGTGAACTTTCCCATTATTTATCCCATTTATGTATTTAAATGGTATCTGTCCCCTATTTAAATGGTATTTGTCCCTTATTTAAATGGTATTTATCCCTCATTTAAATGGTATTTATCCCTTATTTAAATGGTATTTATCCCTTATTTAAATGGTATTATCCCTTATTTAAATGGTATTTATCCCTTATTTAAATGGTATTTATCCCATTTGTGTATTTAAATGGCATTCTGTCCCCTATTTAAATTGGTATTTTTCCCCAGTGACGTTTGGTTAAATGCAGAGAAATTAAATAAAATGTATATATGCGCAAGGGGATGCACCAATAATTTGTTTCATAGCTGAAGAAGACTTTGGGACTGGGGACTTTTCTAAACTGGGACTTTTCCTGGCAATAAACTGGGGACTTTTTTCCTGGGGACTTTTCTAAACTGGCAATAATGCAACTATTAAATTAGTCGTTTCTACTTTGAAACGACTTTTTTGCAAAAAGGAACGTGGACACTTTTAAAAATAATTACTTTTTACATAAGGGAACAATATGACTTAAAATTATTACTTTCATTTAGAATTCTGGACGTTTCTATGCAAAATTTTTTCACATGTATTCGGAAAAAACAGCTTTTTAATCCGAATAAAATATTTTAATTAAAAACAGCTTTAAAAAATAAAAAAATTTATGTAAACATCTTGAGGATATTTATAGAACATGACGTACCCACGACGTCGCAACTTACGTCTTACATCCTACGACGTGTATGATATAACGTGCCTATGACGTCGTAATTTACGTCTTACGACGGCGCAACTTACGTCTCACGACGAGCGCGGTCTCGGACGTCGCTTCATTGACGAGGTTGCTGAACCTGACGTCTTACGACGTCGCAACTTACGTCTTACGACGTCGCAACTTACGTCTCACGACGTCGCAACTTACGTCTTACGACGTCGCAACTTACGTCTTACGACGACGCAACTTACGTCTTACGACGTCGCAACTTACGTCTTACGACGTCGCAACTTACGTCTTACGACGTCGCAACTTACGTCTTACGACGTCGCAACTTACGTCTT